GTTTTGATGGTCTTTTTTTGTAAATAATTACCTTTTTTTGCGGTTTTATTTGTTTATTTATTTTTGTATCTTGAGATCTATGACGTCATCAAATACTCGAGTTCTACTCGGGTTTTATTATGTTAATGTCGAGTTTAAAAATTATATACTTGTTCAACCCCTAATGTGAACCTGCAGCCCGAGCACGGCACAGAGGCGCGCTCAGAGCCCTTTCGAGGAAGCCTAGCCTTGGGTCACGCAGAACACACTTCCACGGTGCCTGCAGCCTTCATTCAAATGATGCGGCGTTGATGAAGGCGCGTGCACCGCCTCTCAGCGCTCGCCCGCTCGCATCAGCATAAATGTGAAACCGCAGAATGGGCTCAGTGAGAAACCTCACTCTCATCAGGAGTGGCACGCGCCTCACCGAAGCAAACGTGTGCTTCCCCGGTGCCTGCAGCCTTCATTCAAACGACGCGGCGTTGATGAAGGTGCGCACAGGAGTGGCACGCGTCTCACCAAAGTGCTGTCAAACGTGTGCTCCCGCGGCGCCAACAGTTTTCACATGCCTCTCCTCAACACACGACGGTCCACATAGACATGAATGTGAACCCGCAGCCCGAGCGCAGCACAGAGGCACGCTCAGAGCCTTTTCGAGGAAGCCTCGCCTTGGGTCATGCAGAACACACTTCTGCGGCACATGACGACGATCGGGGCGGTAGACTGGCTGACATCCGTAAAAACATGACGCACCACCTAAACACGCGCCCATTCCACGAACGTTACGCGGGATGGCTGCGAGCTTGCTCACCAGAAAGATGGATGGCCAAGTTGATAGCGAGGGTTACACATTACAACTTGCAGCCTGACCCCCTCTGTTCAGAGAAGTTTTAGAAACGGTCCCGTCATCACCAGACCAGGTCTCATCCCTAAAGGCAGAAGTCCAGGGGTTCCCAACGGAGAGGAAAACACATGATTTTTACTCACGTTGCTTTCTGGTTCAAAACGGACCGGAGGAACAAGACCGATTTTGGACCTGTCAGTTTTCAACAAGGCGATCGTGGGCAGACCGCTTCACATGTCGGCACAGGCTCAGGTGTTGACATCACACCTGCTAATTCTGGGCTTCGCCATAAATTGGGAAAAGCTCGATTCTTCCGGCCCAGACGATTGCTATCTGGGAATGGGGCTAAACTCGACCACCATGAGAGCTTGTTTATTTGTTTATCACAGATGAGAATCGACTCTCTAAGAGTCCAGCTCCGCCACGTAAGACGGGCAGAGTAGTAACAGCTATTTTCCATCATGAAGCTGTTAGGAATGATGTTGTCAGCTCACACAGTGGCCCCACTGGGTTTACTACACATGAGATGCCTCCAGAGATGGTTTGCTCGTCTGCACATGGATCCGGTGAGGCAAAAGAGATGGACGATCACTGTTCCTCCCTCCGTGAGAACAGATCTCCTACATTGGGAAACCCCCTGGTTCTGTCGGAGGGAGTCCCCGTCAGCAGACCTAGGTCACACGTGTCAGTCTTCACAGACGCGTCATTGTCAGGTTGGGGGGGGGGGGGGTGACATGCCTATCTCAAGCTGTAGGAGCGCTGTGGCCTTTCTCACAACAGCTCATATAAAGTTCTGGAATGTCGCACGGCTCTGAATGTGATTCAACACTTTGCTCCTGTGCTGCAGAATCAATGCGTTTTGATTCACACAGACAACAAGGTTACTGCTGTTTACATAAACTGGCAGGGTGGTGTGCGCTCAGCCCAAATGTTACACATTGCGAGGAAACTACTGTGTTGGGCACATCAAAATCTGCTCTCCATCAGAGCAGTGTACATCCCCGGTGTTCTGAACAAGGGGCAGATGTGATATCCAGGGGCGGTCCGCGTCATGGGGAGTGGACCCTCCACCTCGGTCTGATGGCCCAGACGTGGCAGAAATTTGGCAAGCGGCTGTGGACCTGTTTGTGACATGAGAAAACGCTCAGTGTCAACTATGGTTTTCACTGAGCCCGCGAGACGAACCACCGCTGGGGGTGGACGTGCTTGCTTACAGCCCATGGCCCAAAACACTTCTTTACGCATTCCCCCCACCTCCTCTGATATACGGATATACGGTTTCTGAACCGAGTTCAGGAGGAGGGATTGACAGTTTTCCTGGTGGCTCCCGAGCGCTTGTACGCACCGTGGTTCCCGGTTCTACGACGCCTGTTATCGAGGCGCCCGTGGAAACTGCCGTGGAGGGAGGACGCTCTCCTCCAGGCGGGAGGAGCGATCAGGAGTTACCCAGAAATAGGCCAGCACCTGTGGGTCTGGCCGCTGAGCAGATCTGCTTAGAGAGGATGGGTCTCCCGCAAGATGTAGTGCGCACAATCCAGGATTCACGTGTTGCATCCACCACAGCGCTGTACACATCAAAGTGGACAGCTTTTCAGCGCTGGTGTACAGAGAAAGGTGTAGAGGCCACCTCATGTCCACTAGGCGGCATGTTGTCCTTTCTGCAGCAGCTGATGGACAGAAATTTGGCGTTCAGCATGATTAAACCTATGCTGCAGCCATCTCTTCCTGTCATGAAGGTTTTTCAGAGACAGAACAGCTTTTAATCATCCGCTGATGAAGCGTTTTTTTTAAAGGTGTACAGAGAAAGGTGTAGAGGCCACCTCATGTCCACTAGGCGGTGTGCTGTCCTTTCTGCAGCAGCTGATGGACAGAAATTTGGCTTTCAGCACGATTAAAACGTACGCTGCAGCCATCTGTTCCTGTCACGAAGGGTTCAGAGACAGAACAGCTTTTAATCATCTGCTGATGAAGCATTTTTTAAAAAGGTGTACAGAGACGCAGGCCTGTTTCACACCCACTTGTTCCACAGTGGGATTTAATGCTGGTCCTGCGGCCCCTGATCAAAGCTCCATTTGAGCCACTGAATCAGGTTCCAATTAAATTCTTCTCTCTTAAAACAGCCCTGCTGCTGGCTTTAACATCCGCTAAGAGGGTGAGTGATTTATCTGCCCTCTCTGTCACTCCGTCATGTCTTAGAATTCAGGCTGATGGCAGCTCAGCTGATCTAAGACCGAATCCAGCTTTTATGCCTAAAACATTACAAGCTTTCTATCGTTGGAGGGGTCCCCCCCCCCCCCCCCCCCAAATCAGAAGAAGAAACATCTTTCCATCTGCTCTGTCCTGTGCGGGCGTTGACGTGTTATATAGCTGAAATGCGTCGAACTCAACATTCGTTTGTGCATTATAGAGATGCATATGCAGGTCGCCTGTTATCCACCCAGCGCCTGTCACACTGGCTGTGTGAGGCCATTTCTGAAGCTTACAGAGCGTCAGATTTAGAGCTTCCTGATAACCTCAGTGCGCACTCGACCAGAGGTATCGCATCTTCGACTGCTCTGCATAATGGTATGACAATGCAGGATATTTGCACTGCGGCCGTGTGGGCAACACCCTGCTCATTTATTCGCTTCTATCTACGTGATGTGACAGTTCATTCCATGACACATTCTGTCCTTAGTGTTTTAACAGAATAAATATAGTTGTTTCAGGGAACCCCGTTTAAACTCACATCTGACTGCATGCATTACAGTGTGAGATGTTGTTATCAGCCACATGTTGTAACTGTTATTTTCGTTCTATTGTCATTAATCAATTCATGACTATTGTTACCAATCAGTTCATTTGATTAATAATCAGCTCACTTGTTATTATTAATCTGTTCATATTGTTCAGCCGTCAATCTGTTGATTCATGGTCCCTTTTCAGCATCTTCCCTTCCCCGTTGAAAGTTTCCGGGGCGTTCATGCACTCAGAATGCATAACTATATAGCATGCATCTGTGCATGGTACGCATAATTACGCAACGCGTAATTACGCACATGGAGAGCTGAGTGACAAGACGTTTTTTGGGCAAGTTGCCGCTTCGTATGATGTTCTAATGGACTCAGTGAGGTGAGGACCACATCTGCTTCGCCCTTAACCCACTAAGCGATAGCTCTTAAAGGGCGAAGCCTATACGAAATAGAACATTGGTTACATACTGTAACCCCAGATTCTATGAGTATAGGCGTAGCCCTTTAAGCGTCGGGCCTCACTGGCTCCTAAATGGCTGAAGAAAAAGCTATTTGGGAGCCGATTACCTGCTCTTAACATAATTTATACGGATCGGGTGGGGCCCACACAGCAGGTGGGCGTGGACTAAATTTTTCAGTGCAATGCTTCGCATGACGGGATAAACCCACTAAGCGACAGCTCTTAAAGGGCTACGTCTATACTTATAGAATCTGGGGTTACAGTACGTAACCAACGTTTCTTTAGTGTCCTGATGCATGCTCAACAATCCAGGTAGAAAAATCTAAAAAAGTTAAATCTGGTCCTCTGGACACCCTCTAAACAGGGGTGGAGGCCTCCGGGTTCAACTGTCCCCCTCTTACAATGCTGTGATTGCTAGTATCACTCAGCCCTCTGTGAGTAGTAAACAGCCATCAGTGTGCTAATGATCCATTGTTATGCTGATGGTCCTTCTTGAGCATGTGATCAGCTGGTTTTGGTTGTCAGCAGCAAAACTGGTTGATCCACCCTGAGACGGTGCTATTTAAGAGACTGAGCTGAATACAGCTCCTCAGACTGAGGAAGTCTCTCGGATGAGAGACGAAACGTTTCTACATTTTTTTGTTGATTTGCTTTGTTTTTTGTTTTTTTTTGAATGTCCAGAGGACCAGATTTAACTTTTTTAGGTTTCTTTAGTAGGGCACACTCAGATTTATACATTCAGTGAGGTACTCTGTCATCTGGGGTGTGTTCAGAGACAAGTAGCTGCACCTTCGCATCAAAAGGAGTCTGTTGAGGTTGTTTGGGCATTTGAGTAGGATGTCTCCTGTATTCCTCTTTTTATAGGCTTTCGAGGCACATCTCAGTGGTAAGAGGCCCCCGAGAAGACCCAGAACTTGCTTCTTCTTTATCTTTGCCTCCATTCAAGTAGATGTGTAGGTGTGTGGATGTAGGTTTGTATACTTACAGAGCTTTACTGGAGGTTTTAACCACTGGCTGCAGCCTCAGAAATGCATCCTCTGAAGCAGAATATCTGTTCAGGTCAAATACATCCAGATCTTTTTCTGATGACAATAAAATGAAAACCAGAGCTGACCACTGAGCAGGAGACAGTTTATCTGTGGAGAGATTTCCTGAATGAAGAAACTGTTGGATCTCCTCCACTAGAGAATGATCATTCAGCTCATTTAGACAGTGAAACAGATTTATGTTTTTTTCTACAAACAGATTCTTGCTGATCCTATTCTTGATGTACTCGACTGTTTCCTGATTGGTCTGTGAGTTACTTCTTGTCTGTGCCAGGAGTCCTCGTAAAAGACTGTGATTGGTCTGCAGTGAAAGTCCCAGGAGGAAGCGGAGGAACAAGTCCAGGTGTCCATTTGGACTGTTTAAGGCCATATCGATAGCACTCTGAAAAAATAATTTTCTGCTTGGTTTTCTGAAGACTGTAGACACTGAAAAAGTATTATTTTTGTTTTCCATTACGTTGACATCAAAGTTGATGAAGTTCTCATAGACATGAAGAGCAGCCAGAAACTCCTGAATGCTCAGATGGACGAAGCAGAACACCTTGTCCTGGTAAAGCCCTCTCTCCTCTTTAAAGATCTGTGTGAACACTCCTGAGTACACTGAGGCTGCTCTGATATCGATGCCACAAACTGTCAGGTCTGATTCATAGAAGATCAGGTTTCCTTTCTGTAGCTGCTCAAAAGCAAATTTCCCCAGAGACTCAATCATCTTCCTGCTCTCTGGACTCCATGTTGGATCCGTCTCTTTCCCGTCATCATACTTGACCTTCTTGACTTTGGTCTGAACCAGCAGGAAGTGGATGTACATCTCAGTCAGTGTGTTGGGCAGCTCTCCTCCCACTCTGGTTTTCAACACATCATCCAGAACTGTAGCTGTGATCCAGCAGAAGACTGGGATGTGACACATGATGTGGAGGCTTCGTGATGTCTTGATGTGGGAGATGATCCTGCTGGCCTGTTCCTCATCTCTGAATCTCTTCCTGAAGTACTCCTCCTTCTGTGAGTCAGTGAAGCCTCTGACCTCTGTCACCATGCCAACACACTCAGCAGGGATCTGATTGGCTGCTGCAGGTCGTGTAGTTATCCAGAGGTGAGCAGAGGGAAGCAGTTTCCCCCTGATGAGGTTTGTCAGCAGCACATCCACTGAGGTGGACTCTGTAACATCAGTCAGGATCTGATTATTGTGGAAGTCCAGAGGAAGTCGACACTCATCCAGACCATCAAATATGAACACAATCTGGACGTCTTCAAAGCTGCACATTTCTTTGGTTTCAGTAAAGAAATGATGAACCAGTTCCACCAAGCTGAACTTTCTCTCATTCAGCACATTCAACTCTCTGAAAGAGAATGGAAATGTGAACTGGATGTCCTGGTTGGCTTTGTCTTCAGCCCAGTCCAGAGTGAACTTCTGTGTTAAGACTGTTTTCCCAATGCCAGCCACTCCCTTTGTCATCACTGTTCTGACTGGTTCATCTCTTCCAGGTTTAAAGATGTCTTCTCGTCTAATTGTTGTTTCTGGTGTGTGTGGTTTCCTGGATGCTGTTTCAATTTGTCTGACCTCATGTTCATCATTGACCTCTCCAGTCCCTCCCTCTGTGATGTAGAGCTCTGTGTAGATCTGATTCAGAAGGGTTGGGTTTCCTGCTTTAGCAATCCCCTCAAACACACACTGGAACTTCTTCTTCAAATAGGATTTAAGTTTACGTTGACAAACTCCTGTAAAAAGTCCTGAATGAAAACACAATTAAAAAATTAATGGTATAACTATGAAGTACAGATCACACGTCTATTCACTTGAAAAATGAGCATTTTATGTAGGGTGGTGTGTCTCTTGAAATATCATTTAATTTATGTTTCAGGTTTAGGGAAGTCCTCTTACTGCTTTGCAGACGATCAGCCAGCTCCTCCTGCTTCATCGTCTTCAGGAAGTGCAGTGCAATCTTCACAAATGCTTCTCTGCTCCCCATCTGTTCTTCATGCTCACCTTTCAGCACATTCTCTTCCTCCTTATGAAGCTCTATATTTTCTAAGTAATTCAAACTCAGAACCTTCTGGATCTTCTTCAGTTCGTTTCTCACAAAAGTGACAATGTTGTCCTCCAACAGCTGTAACAGAATAATGATTTAATTGGCACAAACCTCAGGTCTGTGTTGGACAGAATGAGAGTCCATTGGTTCAGCATAGAGATGACCATGAGCAGAATACATGGAAAAGTATTTGTTGTACAGACCATAAAGATGGAGTCCAGCTGTGCATGATGCTGTTGATCAGTCTGACCCCCAGGAGCCTCTGAGCTCTGCTGGTCGGCTCTGTGGAGTAAAAAAAAAAGCTCTCATTTTGTCTATTCAAAACTAAAATAAATGCCTCCAACAACATTCGTTAGTCACACTTTCACTTCTGTGTTTCTTGAAAAAAGTCCAACACGTAACACTTCAGTGTGAAAATGTTATGAGCTCTCTAAACGCATTGGAATTAAAAAAAATTAATAAAATCAGACTGATGCAGTTCAACCAGTTACAACAACTAAATTCGACTCACCTCTTTGCAGCAGAAGGTTGCTCTGACTGAAAATTTATATAAAAGTTCTTCGAGCTGTCGCTTTTAAGGGATACACCACTGGGTTCTGGTTGATGTTCAGGTCTGAGTCTCTGCTGGATCCTGACAGGAAAAAATCCCATTAAAACACTTTCTGTAAAGTTTTATTAACACACTATTTTCAACATATGTGACTAAAAAAATGAAACATAAAATGAATAAAATTGAAATTTCTAAGCTCCAAATTTTCCAAGTGGTATGCATTACTCAAAAACAAAATTATTGCTGAGCTCTCTACAAATCTATATCTTGTTTTTAAAATGTTTCTTTCTTTAACCGTTAACGAAAGGTTAGTTGATTTTATTGTTACTTGAAATGTCTTATAGGGTGACTGTACATACACAATGTACTTTATTTTAGCATTATATTCCTGATTAAGTTTATTTATAGCTGCAGTCAGAAGTTTGGGCAAGAAAGTTAATGTCATACTGTTAATGATTTATGGGAATTATTCTTTTTCCTGGGTGGAATATTTATACAACACACAAATTCAATGAGTTTTGAAAGAAGAATTTTTCTGCACAAGTTTGAATTGATTAACACCAGCTCCCTTCTTCTTCTTTCAGCTTTTCCCTCTTTAGGGGTCACCACAACGAGTCATCCTCCTCCATCTCACTCTGTCCTTTCCATCCTCTGTCCTCACTACAACTACCTCCATGTCCTCTCTAACTGCATCCATATATCTCCTTTTTGTCTTTTTCCTGGTAGATGTAATTCTAACATCCTTCTACCAATATTGTTGATATGTGCTGTTGACTATCCATGCTGCTGATCTCATGCTGCTGATTTATTTCATGCTGCTGTGTTCATTCGTACTCATCTGCTCCCACAGACTCATGTTTGTGCTGCTGTTGTTCGGCGTATTGTTTATGTACTAGTTGTGGTTAGTGTATTCTTAGTTCTAGCATATTCCTTAGTCCATATCTTAGATCTTATTACTGTTTTTCTTTACAATTTACACTTTTGTTGGATGTAACTGGTAACCTGTGTACACAATTTCGTTCCACCACATGTACCTCGTGATGCGAATGACAATAAAGAAACTTTGACCTTGACAAATATACCCACTGTCCTTCCTCTGGACATGTCCAAACCATCTCAGTCTGGCCTCTCTAACTTTATCTCCCAGTTGTTCATACCTGTGTTGAATCTCTGATGATCTTATTTTTAATTTTATCCATCCTTGTCACTAAGGAGAACCTCAACATCTTCATTTCTGCCACTTCCAGGTTTTTTTCCTGTCTTTTTGTCAATGCCATTGTCTTTAGACCATACAATATAGCTGGTTCCACCACTGTCTTGTAAAATGTTCCTCTGACCTTTGCTGACACCCTTCTGTCGCAAATCACTCCTGAAACTTTTCTCCATCCACTCCATCCTGACTGGACTCTCTTTTTCATCTTTTTACCACATTCCCCATTTTCCTGGACAGTGGATCCCAAGTTCTTGAAGTCCTGCACCTTTGTGACCTCTGCTCCTTGTAGCCTCACTGTTCCACCGGCCTCCCTCTCATTCCCACACATGTACTCTGTCTTACTACGGCTGACTTTCATTCCTCTTCTTTCAAGTGCATAGCCTCCACCTCTCTAAGTTCTCTTCCACCTGTTCCCTGTTCTCACCACAGATCACAATGTCATCTACAAACATAATAGTCCACATGGATTCCTGCCTGACCTCATCTGTTAGTCGGTCCATCACCAGAGCAAACAAGAAGGGGCTCAGAACTGATCCTTGATGAACTCCCACCTCCCCCTTGAAGCTATCTGTCACTCCTACAGCATGTCTCACCATTGTCCTGCTGTCTTCATACATGTCCTGTACCAGTCTAACATACTTTTCTCCCACTCCAGATTTCCTCATGTAATAACACATTTCCACCCTCAGCACCCTGTCAAAGGCTTTTTCTCAATCCACAAAGACACAATGAAGTTCTTTCTGACCTTCTCTGTACTTCTCCACCGGCATCCTCAAAGTAAAGATGGCATCTGTAGTGCTCTTTCTTGGCATGAAACCATACTGCTGCTCACAGTCACCTCTCGTCTTTGTCTAGCTTCCACAACTCTGTCCCAGATCTTCATCGTGTGGCTCATCAACTTAATTCCCCTGTAGTTGCTACAACTCTGTATATCACCCTTGTTCTTAAAAATGGGCACCAGCACACTTCTTCATTCCTCATGCATATTGTCACCCTCAAATATGACATTGAGCATTTGAGTCAAAAACCTCACTGCAATCTCCCCAAGACATTTTCAAACCTCTACTGGTATGTCATCAGGTCCTACTACCTTCCCCTGCTTAGGGGGTGGGCGATATGGTTAAAATGTAATATCATGATATTTCAGAGCATTCTGATGATAACGATAAATTTTGTGATATAACAAAAAAGAAACCCAGAAATCATAGTTATTCATTTGACAAAATTAAATTAACATGTTGCTTTGCAGTATTATATAAAACCTAAAAAAACAACAAGGGTTAATTTTACTGAAATTACTTTATTTAGTCAAGTATTCAGTCTAAAAGGAAAAAAATAAAAATGATCCTTCATCTGGTCAATCTTCAATCTGTTAGATTGAAAAAGTCTGCACAAAATATAGATCCACAAAATTTACCTCAAAAACTATAATGCAGGTGCAGTTTCCCAGTTTAGAGTGGGGGGGGGGGGCACTGCGCCCGCACCGGCAGCCCAGAGTGGGGTGGGGGGGAGAGAGAGAGTTGAACTGTCACTGTCTGTACCCACAGTTTAGAGCTGGATGGAGAAACGCAGCCGAGCCATGCATTGTTTGTTTTGAGCATTTTAGCTAGCTAGTATTGTTCGCAGCTAATTAGTGTTACGCCAATACCGACAGGTGGATGGAGGGGGTGCGCAGTTTGGTTCGGTAGTTCGGCGTGCTCGGTTCTGTTAATGGGGCGGGGCAAACACTGACGTACTTATGTCATGAAATTAGCATATCATGATATCATTTATTTTCCCAGGCAAGCTTTTTTTTCCTGGTATTATTGTGAACAATATGATATGGCCCAGCCCTTCCTCTGCTTCATTCTTTTCAGAGCTTTCTGGACTTCACCCTCCCTAATCTTTTCCACTTCCTGGACCACAGTTTCTTTGACCTCTACTCTTCTTTCTCTTTCATTCTCTTCATTCATTAGATCCTCAAAGTACTCCTTCCATCTTCCCGTCACACTCTCCTCATTGGTTAGAACATTACAACTCCTATCTTTATTAAACCTAACCTGCTGCACATCCTTTCAAGCCTGATCCCGCTGTCTTGCCAATCGTTGCAAGTCCTTTTTGCCCTCTTTAGTGTCCAGCCTCCCATACAACTCGTCATACCCTTTCTGCTTTGCCTTTGCATCCTGACTCTTTACTCAACATTGCATCTCCTTGTAAAATCTAATTTTGTCCAGATGACACACCAAGTATCTTCCTACCTGTCTCTCTAAATCCTGTTGCTGTAGTAGCCCAGTTATGTAGAAGCTCTTTCTTGCCACCCAGAGCCTTTAACAGCTCCTCTCAGAACTCCTCACAACATTCTTCTTTTTTCAGCTTCCACCATTTGGGTGTCTTCTTTGAGTTTACTCTTTTTCTCTTCCTCACAAAAGCAGTCCTTCTACACACATATACCTGATGCTGTTTGGCCATGCTCTCTCTGCCACAGTCCCCAATCTCCCTCAGGTTTCCTCTTCTACACAGAATGTAGTCGACCTGCGTACTCCTTCCTCCACTCTTATAGGTCACTCTATGTTCCTCCCTCTTTTGGAAATGTTGACTACAGTCCTTCTCTTGGCAAAATCCACCACCATCTGTCTGTCCTGGTTTTTTTCCTTGACTCCAAAGCTACCCATCACTTCCTCATCCCCTCTGTTTTCTTCACCAACATGTCCATTCAGGTCTGCTCCAATCACCACTATGTCCTCCCTGGGAATACTCTCTATCACTTCATCCAGATCCTTCAAAAATGTATCTTTCTATGTCACATCCAACCTGTGGAGTATAACCACTGACAACATTTATCATTACACCTTCTACTTCTACATTCAGACACATCACCCTATCTAACACTCTTTTCACCTCTACAACATCCTTTGCAACTCCTCCTTCAGGACAACCTCTACTCCATTTCTCTTTGTAGCCATACAATGGTAAAACAGTTTAAACCCTTCTCCAGTGCTGCAAGTCTTGCTGGCCTTTCAGTTGGTCTCTTGGACACATAAAACATCTACCTTTGTTCTCTGCATCATGTCAGCCAGCTCTCTACCTTTGCCTGTCATTGTCCCCACATTTAGAGTTGCCACCCTCAGTCCTTCATTCTTGACTTTCTTCTTCTCCTTCTGTCTCCTGACATGGTTTCCTCCTCGTGGTCTTTCACTAACCGTAGCACAATTTCTGCCAACAGTTTGTTAACAGCACCGGTGGTGATCATAGTTAACCCGGGCTTCAATCAATCTGGTATGGTGTCACTTAGATGAATTTGCATTATAGTTTTGGCAGAAGTATTTTATGTCAGATGCCCTTACTGACACAATCCTAACCATTTATCTGGGCTTGGGACCAGCACAAGAGATACCGGTAAAGTGGCTTGTGCTCCCTAATGGCTGGTCTGACACCAGCTCCCTGTGATCCAGAAAGAATAAGCAGGTAAAAAAAATGGATGGATTAATTTTGAAAAAAATAAAAATAAATCATTGTCATATCCTGGCCAATTTATCAGGTTAAAATAAGATTTCAAATTTCTAATATGATTTGAAGCCTAATAAGTATCCTTCATGTTTGAAAAATGTGCAGTTGTCAGTGCTTTTATTTTATAAAATTGACCGGTAGAAAATCCCTGTGTGTCAGATACTTTAATTAGAATGAAAAATGTTAAACACACGTTGAATGAAAACATTTCAGACAGAATCTGGTTACACAGGTAAACCAAATTAAATTCAACTCACCTCTTTGCAGCAGAAGGTTGCTCTGACTGAAAATTTGTATAAAAGTTCTTCGAGCTGTCGCTTTTAAGGGACACACCACTGGGTGCTGGTTGGTGTTCAGGTCTGAGTTTTTGCTGGATCCTGACAGGAAAAACTCCCGTTAAAACACTTTCTGTAAAGTTTTACTAGCACACAATTTTCAATATTTGTGACAAAAAAAGAAAGACAAAATTAATAAAATTGAAATTTCAAAGCTCCAATTTTTCCAATTTTCCATTCTTGTCATTCCTAAGGAGAACATCTTCATTTCACCTCTAGTTTTTTTTCTGGTCTTTTTGTCAATGCCACTGTTTCCAGACCATACAACATATCATATATTATAGCGGTTGTCAGTGCTTTTGTATAATAAAATTGACCTGTAGAAAACCCTTGTGTGTCAGATAGTTTTATTAGAATGAAAAATATTAAACACACGTTGAAATAAAAACATTTTAGACCGACTTTGATTACACAGGTAAATCAAATTAGATTCAGCTCACCTCTTTGCAGCAGAAGGTTGCTCTGACTGAAAATTTATAAAAAAGTTCTTCGAGCTGTCGCTTTTAAGGGACAAACAGCTGGGTTTTGGTTTAAGTTCAGGTTTGATTTTCTGATTGACCCTGGCAAAAAAACAAAACAATCATTCTGTAAAATTTAGCTTGAATTAAACTAATAATTAGTAAATCAATTAATTAGGGTGTCTTTTTTAATAGCATGAATGCTGTGTGAAAATATGGGCAGTTCAAGATGTTCATCTCACCTCTGAGTGTCACACATTTGAGTTGTTTTAGAGGGAGGGGCTCCCTCCTCTCTGTCCTCACACTGATCCATGTTGCTGAATTCACATCCACATCAGCTCAAACACACCTTCTGCAATGGAAACAAAAATCATTCAGCTGCACATCAACTTTAACCTTTACATTGTTTGTGTTCTAAAAAAAATCACCTTCTTCTCTACAACTTGTCCTTTTTCCTGTTTCATCTCTGTCAGCTGATTACAGTCAAATATCAGTGTTAGGAAACTGCCATCAGCTGCTGTACTACTCTTATTCACTAGGTAAAATCATTGAGCTGCAGCCCAGCACACACATTTTTCCCATTCATTGACATTTTTTTCTCAAGACAGTTTCACAAATTATCCATCTGGCCATTAATAAATAACAGATGAAGCCGGTCACTCCCCTCTCAGATGTGAGTTTTAGAAATAAAGAGGGCAAAGTAGACTCAAGATAGACATGGAGCAGAAATCATTGGGGACTGCCTGAAGGTAGCCACCTATTACTATCCACCTGAAAAGGGTCTTGCACTTCCTTGAACTTCATGAGCAATTTTATATACAAAATTTATTTTTTAAACATTTATTTCATAGATGTTAAAGCATGAACAATGTGGCCTTGCTAGTATATGTTCTGTTGTTGTTGATTTGATTGTTACACAAACCAACCTATTTGAGTTTGGTTTAGAGCTAATCAAAGCACAGAAACAGCACTAGTAAAAGTCACTAATGATAGTCTCATGGTCTCAGACAATGGACAGGTGTCTACACTGGTCCTGTTAGACCTCAGTGCTGCATTTGATACAGCTGATCACAATATTCTACTACAGAAACTTGAATATGATGTTGGGATTACAGGAATGGCTCTAAATTGATTTAAATCACATTCATCTGATAGATTCCAATTTGCAAATGTAAATAATAAATCTTCTTCATACAAAAAAGTTAGTTATGGAGTTCCTCAGGGTTCAGTGCTGGGACAAATACTCTTTATCTTATATATGCCTCCATTAAATAAAGTTATTAAACAACATGGGATACATTTTCATTGTCATGCTGATGATGCACAGTAATTTTTGTCCATGAAACTGAATGAATCCAATCAGTTACTTAAGTTACAAGTGTGTCTTAAAGACATAAGAACCTGGATGACCCTTAATTTTCTGTTTTTGAACACAGACAAGACTGAGGTTTAGGTTTATGGACCTGAGCACCTTAGGAATGCATTTTTCAGTCTTTCTCCCTCCTTGGATGGCATTCATCTGGACTCCAGCTCTAATGTTAAAAATCTTGGTGTTATTTTTGATCAGGACATGTCTTTTATCTCCCACATTAAAAACATTACCACAACCACCTTCTAACACATGCATAATATCGGTAAACTTAGAAACATCTTATCTAAAAATGATGCAGAAAAACTGGTCCATGCATTTGTCACGTCTAGACTGGACTATTGTAATGGTTTATTATCTGGGTGTCCAAATACTTCATTAAAACGTCTTCAGTTGATCCAAAATGCTGCTGCCAGAGTCTTAACTGGAGTTAGTAGAAGAGATCATATCTCTCCAGTTTTAGCTTCTCTCCATTGGCTCCCTAAGTCCGGAATTGAAGTAAAAATCTTACTTCTAACCTACAAAGCTCTCAACAACCTAGCTCCATCTTATATTATAGATCTTATTGTTCCATATTTTCCTAACAGAGCAATTCACTCTCAGACTGCAGGTTTACTTGTAGTTCCTAGCATTTCCAAAAGCAGAATTGGAGGAAGATCTTTCAGTTATCAGGATCCTGTCTTGTAGAACTTCCAGTTTCTGTCCGTGAGGCTGACACATTGTCCAGTTTTAAGACTGGACTTAAGACTTCCCTTTTTGATAAATCCTGTAAATAGGGTTGGTTTGTTATGCTGCTATAGACTTAGACTACTGGAAGACAAATTGACCTCATTTCCTCTTTTTGAATTGTTAAAACTGAATATCTAAAAAAGTTAAGTCTGGTCCTATGGACATTCAAAAACAAAACAAAACCAAAAAAAGCAGAAACGTTTCGTCTTTCATCTTTTCTTTCTACGTTTTTGTTTTGTTTTGCTTTTTGAATGTCCAGAGGACCAGACTTAACTTTTTTTAGATTTTTCTGCCTGGATTAGTGAGCATGCATCAGGATGTTAAAACTGAGTAGTTTTCATTTGACACTATTTCTATCTTAACATGATTCTTGACCTGCCATTGTGTTTCTGTGCCTCCTTCCTGTTCTTCTCAAACCCAGCCTGTTGAAGCAGATGAGCGCTTGTCCTGAGCCTGGTTCTGCTAAAGGTTTCTTCCTCATGAGGTAATCTTTCCTTTCCACTGTCGCCTTCATGCTTGCTCAAAATGAGAGTTCGTGATGGAGTTAATTTCAAATCAGTCTGTTCTTCAGATAAATAATGTTAACTTACTTTTTATGTATATGAATGTTTCTGTTCAGTGCCCTGAGATGACTTACAGTATGTTGTGACTTGGTGCTATATAAATAAACTGAACTGACCTGAGTGTTGAATATTGTTAAACATCTGCATCAGACAGTATATGGCTACTGATCTGAAATAGATAAACATGCACAATGTACAAGATGTGCCTGTAATAAATCTTACATTACTAATGTGCTGCACAAGGTGCCCTTTTTTCACTCGAGCACCCCACAAAATGTTTGTGCACATTAACACTGTATTAAATCCAACTGTTTATTTGGGATGAAAAACTATTTTCAGTTGAAAAAACTTGAAAAACTAAGTGTGACATTTGGGGACAATAATTTAAGTTGTTCCGAAAAACCAAGGCAGTTGTAATCCTAAACATCATTTTGTGAGTTGTCAGTACTTATATCTCTAAGTTGTAGGTCATTGCAACAGAAGAAAGTTCTGCTAACTTTCATGCTTTTGTTGTAAAATGCGGGAAAGCTAACTTTTGGAGTTGGTTTTTTGAATTCAAGACTGCAGTGTGCTACTCGGACACGGAGCTCTCAGAGGTAACTTTTGCTCTTATTTATATACATTTGTAATTTAAATAGTTTTGGAATCTCTTTTAAGAATAAATAATTGTATATTAGGGTAAACACATCCCTAATATACAATTATTGGGGGGAATTATTACTGGAAACCTATAATTGCTAAGACACTTTTTTTAGCTAACCAGGTTGTAACATTACATGTGCACGAACGAACCGTTGCATTTTTATGATTTAGCAGTCAGACAACTTTTCACTCCTCAGATTACAGGCGGTCAGAAACAAGCGAACACCTGGTCCAGACGCAAGATTTATTCAGGCCTGGACCAGACTATCAAAAAACTGACATTTTGTGGAGGAAGTCTGAAGACACAACTACAACCAGTACCAGCGGCAGCGTGTGTAGGCAAGGCAATTTTTTTATTTTTTATTTCTTTGTGTTTTATATAACCTGGTCCCTTGTTGTTTGAGAAATGTCCTTTGTGACTGTCCTATTTTAGTGAGCAAAGAATATATTTGCAACAGCCATTTGTTTTCATTGCCATGTAAAGTATGTTATTAATTAATTTTTTTTTACATTTTATATGAGAGAATATTGTGTTAAATTTGACCTAAAGAGTACAATATACTCTTTAAATAGGCTTAAATGTTTGGAATGTTTATTTCCTGTTTAGCTAATTTCCAACAAATTACCCTCTGTCTTTTTAGAATGAAATGAACGCAGTGTCAGTTCTGTAAATTCACCCATGCCACTGAAGCTGAAACACCGTCTTCATCACAGAGGAACTCACTGGTCATACATTCAGACTGGTTATGCACTTTTGGAGCGGTGGCCTTCATTGTTTACTGAGGCAGAGGTAAGGAGCTGATCAAGTGCTCATAATCATTGATAAAAATGAAATGGCAGTATTGAATATGTTTATGACATTTATGTAGCAATTTTACTTACTATAGATAAATCAAACTGGTATTTGTATTTTAAACAGATCAAGGAAGAGTTCCATCTTATCACCAACAGGGATGGACAGCTTCAGAGCAGAATGAACACACACCCAGTCTCCTCAGAGTCTATCGGGCCAGAAGAACAACTTTCCCTCCAGAGATGGATCAACTCCATGGCAGACTGGATGAAGAGGTGAAGTATAGATGCAGTCATGTCATTACTTGGGGCTGTATAGTCTTAGTGAGAAATTATGTTGCTTGGGTTTGCATAACATTACAGTGATCAGTATTTGAATAGAAGTTGTTCCAATATATAAAAAAAGAAAATCCTAGTTTGTCAGTGGCATCAACAATTAATTTTAGTTTACTTAAATTTATAGTAAATGATTTGCTCAAAAATCTACATTGCAGCCAAGTCTCCCCTTTTCTGATTACATGTTAGCATGATCTTTTCTGACTACATGTTAGC